CATTGAACCTGAGATCGTTCTGTCATGTATTGGACCCAAGGTTGTTTCGCTATGATACGAAATTAATATGAGAATGATCTTATCTAAGTATTAGAACTCATTCATATAACCTATTTACTCTTATGTTATTCATTAGGCTTTAACTCACTTCGTTATATATGTATATAGGTGAGTAGCGAGATCTCTAGCCCTAGTGAATCTGTAAAGGATTACTAGAGTTTTGTGAAGTTAGCTATGGAGTGCCTCATGAACGAGACTTTTATCTTTGTTCTTTTATTTTCTTTTGTTGATCACGTTTGACCTGTACCTAAATGTTTGAGTTTTGTATAATGATGACTTGTGAATGATCTTGGACATGTATATATCTACTTGTATGTGTATGGATGTGAGTTATTAACATATAAGAAGTTTTGTTTATGCCATATATGCATAATTCATTGGACAAAAATTTAATTATTGTACTTTCGCTTTTAGCCCCATATATTTAATTATGATTTGTATTCTATACGAGGCCATAGGTAATCTCATGATTATTAGCCGGTTATGATCCAAACCTCTATGGCGGGTTCGAGTCGTGACATTCTTACTGGTAATCAAATTCTGCAAACTTGATTATTAGTGTCTTGGTTTTCTTGATTATATTAAGAATATTCTGATCTATTGTCGTCAGTGCAAATATCAGTAGACTTGATCTTTAGATTAGGCTTCATTGTATTCTAGAGGCGAATTTACTGCAACCCCCTGCAAATGTTGTATTTAGGAAAGTGACTAAATAACGACTTGAAGCACCAATTTTCTGTTCTACATGGACAAGATCATCTCCAAGTTTTGAAGACTCGAAAACCACCAACTGAAGAATTTAAGACGAATTTCTCCAACATTTCCTGATTAGAAAAGTATAAATAAGAATGTTACAAAGAGGGGATTGTGACATCCTCGATGAAAAACATAACTGGGAATAATTTTTAAACTTAATTCCCATCAAGTTGTTTTGAAAATAAGTCATAATCAAATCATCATTAAAAATAATTTTTGCGACCATTTTTTGCGTATGTTGTTAAAAATTGACAATTAGTGACTTTTTTTATCACGGTTTTTATAAGTTGTCGATAAAACTTACAATTAGTAACGTTTTTCTGTGATAAAATTTTTAAACTATCGCTGAAAATTAAAAATTAATGACTTTTTTGTAACGATTTTTTAAAACTGTTGCTAAAACTTTTAATTAGTGACTTTTTTGTGACAATTTTTTAACTGTCACTGAAAATTAACAATTAGTAATATTTTTTAATAGTGTTTGATGAAAAATACCATTAATTTTCACAGAACCTATTAGACAATAAATTCACCTATTAGGACCTACACATAAATCTCTAAAAAAAAAAAAATCATTTGTTGATCATGAATCAAACAAACATAAAATATTTAATTAAATTATGATCATTGAAACTAACATAAAATATTCACTTTCTTAAAAATAAAATAAAAAAATAAAAATCAATTTAGAAAATATGAATTATGGTCATTGAAACTAACATAAAATATTCAATTTGGACAAGCAGAATGACATCCAGATAATTAAGCTAAACCATCTAAAAAACAGTAACATAAAGGACGCTTACGGGCGAAAAATTCAATCTTTTATTTTGTATGACTAAAGGTCCCCACATTAATTTATTATGTATATAAAGACAAACCTTTACGAAATGATGAAAATATACATGAATATATCTAGGAAAATGTCCCGTAACTCAAATTTTGTGGTTTAAAAGTGGCTCAAATGGCCAAAACGACGTCGTTTTGGCCATTTTTATGTTGTTTTGTACTCAAAATGAGGTCGTTTTGGCCATTTAAACCACTTTTGAGCTACAAAATTTGAGTTACGTAGCATTGTCGATATATCTATATCGGCTGTGATTGAGGCCTCGAAAATGAGGCTCGAAATTGCCTCGAATGCAATTTTTTTTTTTTTTTTTTGGACTAATACATTGCAAAAAAAAATAAATAAAAATAATAATAATAATAACAAGCAAAGCATCAACTTAGCAAAAAAAAACGACAATGCTACGTAACTCAAATTTTGTGGCTTAAAAGTTGCTCAAATGACCAAAACGACGTCGTTTTAAGTACAGAACAACATAAAAATGGCCAAAACGACGTCGTTTTGACCATTTGAACCACTTTTAAACTACAAAATTTGAGGTACGAGATATTTTTCAATCTATATAATATGTAGTTCCCAAATCAAACCCCAACCGAAACCATTTTCTCTCTCCTACTCTCATTCTTCCTCTCCCTCTTCCTCTCCTCAGTGCTTCATCTCTCTCTCTCTCTCTACTCCCCTCTCTCTCTCTCCACTATATCCCCTCACTCTCCACCACCACCGCCGCCGCCTATGCCACCTCCTCGCCACAGTCAACATCTTCGTCAACCTCTTTCCTCCACAGCTTCGGTGGTGTCGACGATCATGGCTCCTTCTTCCGACGACGAGGAGAAGTAAGAGGAGAAAAGAGGATGGGCTCGTCGACAGTAGAGCTAAAGGCACCCGATTTGTGACAACCGCCACCGATCTGAACAGATCCGGCCATCTTTTCTTTTTCATTTATAAACCGCTTAGAATTGGCGGTGGAGGCGCTCCGGTAGTGGCTAATATTGCTCCGCCGCTTCCTTCGCCCACCGGAGCCCTCATCTTCATCCTTCAAAGATTGTGTAGTGGGGATGGACTTTGTTTTCTTATTCTTTGAAGTTGTTTGGTTGACAAGAATCTTCAAGAAATTAGGAAGTCTACCACCTGGAGAGCTCGACTGTTTGGTTGTTGATGAGGATAGTGGTGCTGCGGCAGTATGTGAAGGAAGGCTAGCGGCTGATCTTGTCCTCCACGGATCCGTCCCACTATGCTCTCCATTATTCACAGTTTAGCTTAGAAAGTAAGCCTCTCTCTCTCTCTCTCTCTCTTAAACTGAAGTCAATATGTGATTTGCTGCTCAATAATAATTTTTGATTTGTTCTGGTATAATTTCTCTTTTTCAGGAAGGATCTATGGTCCTCAATGCCTGCAGAGGACCATCGGAGGAGAAGACTCCATTGATCCAGCTCCTTATGGGCAGTTTTTTTTTTTTTCAAGCACACAGATCCAATTCCTCTTCTCTTTTTCTTTCTTTCTTTCTTTCTTTTTTTTTTTTTTAAGTTGTTGATCTGTGTTGTTGTATGATGAAACAAATTGCAACAGATAGTAGTAAATGAACCCAAAAAAATTAAAAATTAAGCAGATAAAAGTATATAATAAAAAAAATTGAACAGATATATATATATATACTGGATTATATTTGAGAAAGAATTTCAACAGATAGATAGAAAGAACAAGAGAGAGAGAAAGAAAGAAAGATTGCAACAGATCCTGGTTTGGTGTATTTCAACAGATAATAAAATTGAACAGATAAAAAAAATTGAAGATTGTGACTGGTTTGTTGAATAAGAAATTTTGGATAGATATTTGAACAGATAAGAGATTAAAATTGAAAACTGATAATAAAATCTAGACAAAAATTTGCACAGATAGGAAAAAAAATTGAACAGATAGTCAAAATTTTTGAATATATAGAAAAAAAAAAAAAAAAAAATTAAACACTTAAATGTAAATTTGAACATATAGAAAGAAAAAAAAAAAATTTCAACAGATAAATTAAGGAGTAAAATTGAAAACAAAACGTCTTTCAAAGCAAACAAAAGGACTTCTCACCAAATTATTTTACAAAGAGTGGACCTCTCACCAATAAAAAAATATCTACTGAACCTGATGCCTTATACCTTATACCCTCCTTATATTGAATTTATCACTAATTTTCTCTAACATAAAATATTCAATTTCAACGACTTTCACCCTCCAGCATTTTGTTCATAATATACACACACACACACATATATATATATATATGATTGCTTGGAGCAACGAGGGCTTCAAATTTTTTTTTGTATTTTTTTGTTTTATCAATTCTTCAACATCTCACCAAAAAATAAATAACTAAATAAATCGGAGATGAAAGGATTATAATCGGAGACATAGAGAGGAGTTACCCGAAACAGGAAGCTGCCGGTGGATGTCGAAGTAGTGATTTGATTCGATGAACGATGTGTGGAGAAGCAGAGTGGGAGGGAAGAAGAGTGGAAACCTAGGCAAATCCCTCATCATCCTTTGTTCTTGAAATTCTAGAGACCTGTGATTCATTTGGTTCTTGTTTATGGATTATGAGATGTACAAAATAGACTTGTATAGGATTTTAAAGTTTTTAGGGTTAACATATGTATTGTTTGAGGTGCTCAAACAAATAAAAAAAAAATTAAAATTTATTATTGAGATATTCAAATAAATGAAGTGTCCAACCTACTTTTTAGAGTGCCAATAGAACCAATTAGTACCCAAATTATTTTTTATTTTTAATTTCAATACAAATTTCACATATTTTCATTAATATCTTATATATTTCTATATGTTTTTCACATTTTTTAATACATTTAGGTCATGTTTGTTTAGGCGGACTGAATTAACATTCCCATGATTAATAGCCCTAGGATTACGAATCCGTTGGATTATGTATCCTATCTTAACTAATAGTCAAGTTTAAAATAATTAATCCGTACTTAAATTGTTTAACCAAACATCAGATTAATAATTTTATTGGACTATTAGTCCAATCCCAAGCTCATGTCCACCCAAACAAACATGACCTTATATATATATATATATACCAACATTAACTACTTCCCAGTAGTTAGCATTTCCCGTGGTCGGGAGAAGTGGAGATTGCCGACAATTTCATAAGGTTTAATTACTTAAAAAATATAAAAGTAACTGATTGGTGATTGTAAAGCTTCCAGATGCGGATAACCAACCCCCCCCTTATTCCCACCCAAAAAAAAAAAAAAAAAAAAAAAAAAAAAAAAAAAAAAAGAGGGGAGGAGCGAAGAAAAAGGGGCAAAAAAAAAAAAAAATACAACTCCAAGACCAAAACATCACATCATTAATAGCGGGACCTACTGCCACCTAATTAGTGGGAGCACTAATTAGTGCTCCCAAGCATTTTTCATAATACAAATAGAATAGCATAAAATTCCAATTCAGGCAGGCACATCGATGCTGTCATAAACACAACCAGACTGCTCTCTTGACTGAAATACATGAAACAATTTCACTGAAGATACTACTTAGCTTCAGAGACTACTCTAGATCCCCCATTCATGAACTCTACATTCGGAAGTCCAAAACACAGACTACATTGTTGGCAAAACAAGCAGCAATCTTGTCACCTTCCTTGTTCCAACAAACTTCAAAAATGCCGCCATTCCCTGTGTATGTTTTTACAATCTTGCCTTCCTTCACGGACCATATATTCAAACATCTATCTAACGATCCACTAGCCAAATACTCTCCGTTTGGGCTAAATGCAACAGAGTACACGGGGTCCCTACAATGAAATAATACTAATTAGATAAGTGCAACAAATATATAACCCTATTCTTATAGGATCCAGTAGTTTTGTTTTGTTTTGTTTTTTCCCAAGATTCATGTAGCAACATTTCATTTCACTCAAGGATGGTTGGTTACCTGTGGCCGTTCAAGCTGTAGACAAGGCTCCCTAATTCGACATCCCATAGCTTTATCGTCGAGTCAAAGGAAGCACTATTGAATAAAGAAATAAAAAGTTACAAGTATTTTATGAAGTAGATAACAACAGGGGACAGTGGCCTTCTGATAATAATTATTCAAAAAAACAAACAAACAAACAAATTTAAAATAAAAATACAAAAGGTTTCCTTTAATGACGCCCCCCTCCTTTTTCTCTTTTATATTTTTCATTTTCTTCCGTTAGATTGTAGTAATGGGCTCCCACATCTTGGACAATATAATTAGCAAACTATTCAAAAAGACAATTTGGTTTGCAGGAGATAATCCTTCATCATAGAGAACCACAGGGAAATGATTAAAACAAACTGCAGGGAAACAATTAGAAGTGAACATGTTACATAACTTAAACACAAAACTATAAATCTAAGTTCGACTAGACTATTCATACATTCCAACAAAGGGTAATGAGTCGGAATCTCATTTTAACTAAGAATTATTGTCTTTCTTCCTGCAGGGTGTGTGATTCTCAATTTGAACATAAACAGTCTAATCCTGAAGAACCCCTGCATTATGAAGTAGAATCCCATTTCCAAACAATCTTGGTGTCAGATGAAACCCATGAAAGCGCACTTGTGCAAATAATTTGACATCAGATCATGGATCATTAGCTCTATTGAGGCCGCACAACAGACTTAGGCTTTGAATCAGCATGTGTACCATATTTACTATCATCCATCAGACGCTTAACAGTAATAACTTTTCTCAAAGATTTGCTACGAAGTAGATCAAATAATTACCATGAACCAAATAAATGCTTTTAGAAATGGCAATGGAATGGGGTCCAACATGGGCACAATCATATTCCATTAGTCTGACCGGATAAATTACGATGGCCCATAGCAGGCTAGGGAAATGAAAGGACCTAAATCATCCAATTGTTCATGTACGATTAGTGCAACATAACCTATAACATATTCTATTTAATTATATAATATATGCTTGAAACATTGAGGCTCCATTTGTTTTGATGCAAAACATTTATTTTGTAAATATTTTTCTGCAAAATTTTTACTATTCCTCTCATTTTTGCTGAGTATCTGTGAAAATTTTCCTCAAAAAAAAGAATCATCATATTTGCAAATACATAATTATTTTCACCATCACCATCACAATCATGACCATCCACCATAGTCTGTGTTAAGCAATTATACTTGCATACTTCATGGACGATTCAGACTTACGTTGAGCGGTTGCAGAGGGCTATGGCCTTCAGACTCTCTCAGCCAACTCTGTATACAAAGATTCAAGCAGCTGCACCAGAATCTACCATGATGTCCAGCGCCTGTGGTCTCAAGCTGGGTTTGGTGAAGACACAGCTCTGATTGCATATTTGGGAGGCCAATGCCAACATTGGAGTTCTAGGCAAGGTTTTAAAAACTGGACTAGACCGGAGTGGCCAGTTCAACTGTTGACCCATCGACCAGTCCAAGGTCCGGTCCGGATATACCTCAAAACCATTTTGTCTTGAAAACCGGCCTCTTTTGCAGAAACTGGATAAACCCACGGTTAAACCGGTCAATCGTTTGACCCAGTACCGATTGGAGTTAACCCTGCCGGACCATGCACGCCACAAAGAAGTTGGCAACAAGCGTGGAAGAGTGGTATGCCCTGAGAATCGAACTAGTGTATGCCCTGAAAATCGAACTATGAACCTCAAGGCTGAAGTAGATTGTTCCCACTAGGCCACAGCTCCTCCTAATTATACTGTACATATATATTATTTATTGTTTGAATATATTTACTCTCAAACACTAACATAACTAACAATTTTACAAACAATATTAATATAAAATATATATTTGATACATATATTTATGATAATATAACAACTATGCCAACTTCGACTTTTATTCAAATTTAGTAAATATATATTTTTTTTCAAACATCATATATAATTAATATATTTTACAAACAATAAATACAAATGTATTTATGTAATTGTATATGTATATTAAAATTTAAATAAATGTATTTTAATTCTTATATTATTATTAAGTCTTATTTTTAATATATTTATAAAATAATTACGGCGTCACGGTTTCATTCCGGTTCGACCCGACGGTTGAACCGGTGACCCATCCACCCGATCCATTTCCCGGTTCATTCACCGGTCCGGTTTTTAAAACATTGGTTCTAGGTTCTGCCATCTCTCTCTTTAGGTTCACTCGTTTGTACAATCATGAGTGTCGGTGAACATAAATCACGACTGGAATTCGTAAAGGACTTGCCAAAATCAGTTTGGTTTCCTTGTAAAATATTTTCACTATGTTATGTGCGACACAAACAGAAATGTTAGAAAATTTATTTTAGGAAAATGTTTTCAGTTGAAACAAATGGAGCCTGAATGTTTTGGTGAAAATTCAGTGCATAATTAGATACAAGGCATGGAGGACGTGGAAAATAGAGGTTGGTCAACAAGAATTCCTCTGGTGAATATTCTGGATTTTTATTGTACTGCAGATAATCCATGATCCAGTGGGACAAGGTGTGCCAGTATCTAAAAACAATTACTATCCCATACTATAATAGATCATCCAATTATAAATCAAAGCCACCTTTAAAATGTGCAACATCCAGTCTGACCTGATCCAGTGGGACATGTTTACCTTGCCAGTACTAATTGCTGATTGGGGTTGTTTGTTCCAGGCCCTGTAGGACTCCATCTGATGGTGTATATCTCCTATAAAAAGTATATATCTCTCTCAGTAGCAATTTTAGAGAGGTTAATAACACAAGCACGAAAACAAGGAAAAAGGCTATTCTGTACCTTGGTGTGTTCCTTCAAATCATGCAAATATGTGTCTTGTTTCATGCTCCATATCTGTATCATGTTTCATAGGAGTTCTCAACCCAACTCAAAAGCAAATAAGAATTCTCAACCCAAGTCAAAAGCAAATAAGAACTCTAAGAAGTGTAACAATGGGATACCCAATGTACAAGCATGATATGCTAGGAATGCATTTAAGGCACCCTTTGGATTTATGGATTTGAAATCAATAATTGGAGTAGTATTTTCCACAAAGATTCTACTTGCACAACAATCCTAACAAAATACATGTCTCATACTTCTATTCAATCCTCCACCAGAGTTATCAATCTATCTTCAATAACTAATATTCTTATAACAAAAATCAACCTCAAAGCCATTAATTTGAAATCCACTCATCCAGAGGAAGTATTCCAAGCCACAACATTTTGTAAATTCAACAAATAAGGGATGCCAACAATTGAATAAGAGATCATGACAAGATTGTGCAAGGAAGAAACACTATATCCCCAATACATCAGCAAGTAGATTTACGGATAGTAAGTGCCTCATTGTGATGCTAGATGATACGAGTTAAAGAAATAACAATCACCTTTGCAGTAGAATCATCAGAGCAGGAAGCCAACAATGAACCTGTAGGATCCCATTTGATAGCATTAACTTCACCCTGATATAGCAAAGTTTCAAAAAGGTTAAATGCAAAATCACACAGCATCATTGATTTCTTTATCAGCTTTACCGATTGCAAGATTTGGACAAAAGATTTATGCAGATTTCTCAGCAAATCTAATCATTTTCTTTCAAATTTTTAACTAAAGCAAGTAATATTACAAAGAACAAGAATAGATATTAGATGTATGTTGTGATCCTTAGAAATTGTTTCCAATACGATTACATCACAATTTTCTTGCGCAAGAACTATCAGGCCATCACTTAGTCCATGAATACATATAAACCAAACCAAACTAAACGTTGTGTTCCAGTCAAGTGGGGTCCGCAACATGAATCCTTCTTTACCATTCATCCCTGAAAAAGGCTATATGCTCAGTTAAATTAAAATAAATAAATTCATAGCCTTTTCCACTACAGCATCCATGTCAGGTTAGGTCTTTCCCTTCCCCTAGCATCTCCATTTATGGTTGACCATATCACTATTACTAACTGTTGCATCTGTAAGTTTTTGTTGTACATAATCAAACCATCTTAACTTGTTCTCTCTGAACTTATCTTCGAAAGGTGCTCTTACGATAAGAGTCTTACCATTTGACAAATATATTCATTTCTAATCCTATTTTTTCTAGTCTTACTGTGAGAATATTAGTGTATATTCTGTACATATTATGAGAGATTGTGTAAATATTCTATGTAGTTAGAATTATTCGTATTTCCTATTCAGTCTTAGGGTTAGAATTGCTATATAATTAGATATACTTTTCATATTTGAAGACAATTAAATATTTAAGTTATTTCATTCAGAAATCTTACATGGTATCAGAGCTGTGTGCAAAACCCTAGCAGCAATTGTGAAACCCTCTCTGGTCATCATTAGCAGTCGTGGTTGAAGTCATTATGGTCCTCAGCAAATAGCGATTTGTTCTTTGGTTTGCAATCTGGTTTTTGGGTGGTTCGAGCAAGCTCTCTCTCTTGTTCATGGCCTTTGGGTGGTCCTGTCACCTGAATTGCGATTGTGCCAAAATCACAATCAACATCTGTCACTGGAATCACGTCCCATCTAGTTTGTTCGACCCATCGGATTTGTTCACCCTCTGGTTTGTCTTCTCTGGTTTGTTCCCTGGTTCGTTTTGTTGTTCAAAGCTCACAATCTTGTCTCACTATTTCACTAGCTTGCAATCTCTCTCTTTGCTTCATATTCTCTACATCTCTTTTTCATGACACTTTCCTCAGAGACTTTGTTGACTTGGTCTCATAGGATACCTCATCATACTTATTTGTTCACTTGTACACTCATGATGTCAGATGACAAAATTCAGGCCATTAGTTGCAGACTCACTGGGGCCAACTATGCTTATTGGTCCAGTGTTATGAGAAATTTTCTTCTTAGTTGAAAAAAATGGGAATATGTTTCTGATTTTGTTCCTTATCTGTTGGATCCGACAAAAGGAATGGTATCAGTCTGCTTATGACACTTGGGATTGTGATAACGCCTAAGTTCTAACTTGGTTTCATGACTATTGGAAGATGGTATTGGGACGATGTTCTCCAAGTACACTACTACTAAGGAGGTGTGGGACCATTTACTCAAAGTTTATCAACAGTCCAACTTTGGCACATGGTAAGAGTTGGAATCAGCTATTCAAAGTGCTTGTTAGCGGGACAAGCCCATTTAGGATTTCTATATTGAAATGACTCATCTCTAGGATCAGCTTGACCTCATGAAAACACCTAGCATCAAGGAGTTAGATGATTATTTGCGATTTCGGGAGGAAGGTCGTTTGGTGCAGTACTTAACGACTCTTTCTTAATTTGAGGCTATATGTTGTGGAATCCCTTCATCGTTTTCCTCTCCCTTCTGTGGATGCTATTGTTTGTAATCTCCTTTCCGAGAAACCCGTCTCAAGACAACTAGTCAGGCTCTGTCCCCGTTTGTCTTCTTGGCTACTTAGCCTCTACTATTGTTGACCCCATCTACTCATTAGCTTCGGGTCACTGCAAAGTCCAAGAAGGGGCCACTGACATCAGATGAGTATGCTTTCTGCTATCAGAGGGGTCATTAGAAGTACAACTATCCCAAGAAGGACGTTCACCTACCCTGTCTTCTCAGCAGTCACAGACACAATTCCGAACTCCTACTCAGAATACTTTTCTGCCTCCAGCCGCCTATACTGCATTTGCTACAGCTTATGATCCTAACTTGGCTTACTTGAGTGCTCCAATTGCTTAGTTTCAATTTATATTGTCAGCCACTTCCCAACCATCCTCATTTGCCTCCGCTCTTACCTCTATTCAATCAGGTTTGCTTAGGGCCTTTTCAGGTATCTCTCCTTCAATCTGGATTTTTGACTCTGGTGCCTCTCATCACATGATACCTTATCTCTCCTTACTCCAAAATTGTATTCCCCTCTTCCCCCCCACCCCCCTTTTCCTACCGTTAATGTTGCCAATGAGGCATGGTATAAATGTTTTATATATTGGAGTATAAGTTTGTCCTACCTTCTACCATGCCTGTCATTAATATTCCCTCTTGTCTTTTATGTTCCTCAATTATCTGTCAGTTTGCTATCTATCAGTCAACTTGATGTTTCGCGTCTTGATGCTATTTGTTCTTCGTTTGTTTATCATGTGCAGGATTAGATGTCCAAGCAGCAGATTGGGACCAACCGCAGAATTGGAGACCTCTATGTGGTGTAGAGCTTGCATCTGTCTCTAACTACCTCTCCGACTACTTTTTCATCTTTTCAATTAAATTCTTTGTCGAGTCAATTTTATTTGTGGCATTCTAGCTAACGACATTTGTCTACTAACCGTTTACAATCTATAGCTCAATTAGGATTGTTGGGTAAAATTTCTCTTTGTCAACTTACAGAATGTCAAGGGTGTAAGCCAAAATGACAGCATTACCTTTTAATAAAAGCACTCCTATTTCTATTACACTATTTTCTTTAGTGTATACTAATGTCCAGGGACCTTCTCTCTGTACTATGTGCCTTTTGTCAATGATCGCACCTGCTACACACTTGGGTTTATCTTGTGACTCATAAATCTAACTTCTACCAGATATACTGTACATTTCAGTCTATGATCACCACATAATTTGGGTCTACTATTAAATGTTGCGGTCCGACTTGGGTGGGAAATATTTTAAAACTGAGTATGTGGGTATTTTAGCCAATTCGGATAACATTCACCAATCTTCATGTTCTGATACACCCGTCCAGAATGGTAGGGTTGAACGTAAACATTGTTATCTACTTGAGACTATTCGGTCTTTTCTTATCTCTGCCAATGTTCTGGCCTTGTTTTGGGGTGAAGCAGTTCTTACTGCTACTTTTCTGCTCAACCGTATGCCTATTCCTCTTCCCTCTAGTCGTTCCCCTCATAAGGCTTTGTTTTCTCACGTTCTGAATTATTCCCTCGTTCATGTCTTTGGGTCTACCTGTTTTGTTCTTTCCTGTAAAAATAAGACCAAACTTAAAAGGCTATCGCTGTTATGACCCTATTTCTCATCACCTTTACATCTCCCGTCACGTTGCCTTCCTTGAACACATGGCTTACTTTTAGCTTTCCTCTATCACTGTCACTGTTTCCAAAGAGAATTTTGTTCACATTGATCCATTTCTTTCTAAGGTCCCTATTACATAGCTTGATATACATCAGAGCTCTTGTTGATAGAGCTTAGTAGCAAGAATCGTGGAAGGGACTCACGTTTCTGAGGAAGAAACGCGATGTTGCGTTTCTGAGGAAGAATCGCGCTTCTAATGCGAGAGAAACGCGATCTTGAGCTCTCAATGATCAAGTAGCAGAAATTGTGTAACATGAAGACACACCTGAGGAAAAATCGTGGATCTGCGCTTTTGAGGAAGAATCGCTAATCTGATGAGATAGAAACGTGAATCAATCCAAGAATGAAACTCGATCCCTCTCGATCTATGATAACCCCGTTCTGTGTTATGTCGTTAATCTTTAATTATATTCGTGATTATGTGCTTAATATGATTTTGAATGCTAAACATGTGATTATATATGTTTTTGAATTTATATCTGTCCCTCATAGAGATATTTGTTCTATATGTGGCTATAATCTAAAATTGAGAGCCGTAGAGTCCGACAGAAACCAAAATTGACTGTACCATTGTGATCAACATAATTTTTAGAGTCTTCGGTGAAATTTAATTAAAAATTGATTCGGATCAAATTAATTAGATTAATTCAATTTAAGTGAGCCTAATTAGTTAGCACTAAACCTTGATTAGCCATTTTGATTAGTCAAGCATATATATATGTTCTAATTGTGATTAAGCTCGTTCTTGAGCTCAAAGATTCTAAAGTTCTACACCCTAGAGGGAGGGGGAAGTGAGAATTCAAGAGGAAGAAGAGGAGAACTTGAAGATTGGCTCAAGGGAGTGAAAGATTGTGAAGAGTAACTCAAGTTCTAGCTAGAATTGGAAGAATAGAAGGCTCTAAGTAAGTGATTAAACTCTAAATTCATGAACTTAAGTCATCTAAATGTGACTTCAAGAAGAATATGTAGTTATGTGAATTGAGCAAAGATTGTAGGAATTGTGGGCATGCATGCATGAATTTGTTTTGATTCTTCACTTTTGAGCATAAACCTAGTAAATTATGATGAATTGGACATTTTATCTTACATACATGCATGAATTACCATATTTTAGAGTCCAATTCAAAGTTTAAAAGTCTATGGATGCAAGATTTAAAAATGGTTCACATACATGAAGTTTGTGGTTCGAATTTTGATGAATTCATGGAATTTTGAACAAAAGGTTCAAATTACCTTCAAATATATGTATTTGGGAGTGTTCTTGCATATTTGAGTGTGTCATGCATGAATTTGGAGCATTGGAGTTGTGTTTGAAGCTCAAATATAATTCTAGAAATTCCAGAATTCGAGCAATTCGCTCCAGCAATGGAAGTGTTGCGCAAGCGTACATTTCGAGCTCCCAGTACTTTTGCAGGGGGTGGCTCAAG